ATAAACATGGTATGTACTCACACATATATGACTTTTAGACATACAGCAAAGGATTACCACTCTACAATCCACACTGCCAGAGGAGCTAGGAAACAAGGAGGACCGCAAGAGAAGATTGCAGAGACCCTTGAAGAAGGGATGGGGACAAGAACCCCTGACCAAAGTGGCAGCCTGGGGGGAGAGGAAGGAGGTGGGAAGGGAAGAAGGAAATGGGGGAGAACAAGAGCACTGGGATAGGGGAGGAATAGAGGAGAGCAAGAAGGGAGCTGCCTTGATAAAGGGAGACAGTACAGGTTTGGAGAGAGGTCTGGCACAGTGAAAATGTTAGGGGATTCACAGAGATGACCCCAACTACGTATCCAGGAAGTGGTGGAGAGGATGCCATTTATGCCCTTCCCCTATAATGAGACTGATGTCTACCTTGGTTACCATTCCTAAAGCCTTCATCCAGTCGTTGTTCAAAGTAGAAACAAGCACTCAGAGCTAAGCACTGAACCATACACCTGGAACCCGTTGTGGAGATTGAGGAGGGATGAGCAAAGGAGCTAAGATGGGGCTGGAGAAACCCGCAGAAACAGTTGACCTGACCTAGTGAGAGCATGGAGAACATAGTCATAAATCTGGAGAAAGAGCTTTGGACCAAACCAAGACCTCTGAATGTGGGTGCCAGCTAGGAGGCCAAGACAGTCTACGGGACCTTTAACAGTGGAGCCAATCTTTAACCCTAGAGCACAAATGGACTTTGGGAGCCTATTCACTATGGAGGGATAGATACTATTGCAGCCTAGGTACAGCAAAGAGGTCCTAGGCCCTCCCCCAAATGATATGACGGACATTGAAGGTCCCCATGGAGGGCCTCACTATCCCTGGGGAGGAGTTGGTGGGTGGGTTGTGGGGGGTTGGTGGGGAACATGTGAGAATGGGGGGATGGATATGTAAGTATGTGTAGTAAATTAAAGAATAAAAAAGAAGTAACATATGGACTAAAGGGTTCTATTTATGTATTTAGGAATACA